GAGGCCGCGTCCCACATACAGCAACTAGAAGGATGTGCAGCTATGACATACAACTATCTACTGGGGCTTTGGGGGGAAAATAAATAAATAAATAAAATCTTTAAAAAAAAAAAAAGTAGAACACAGAACAAACTAACAGAACTATTAACCTCAATTTCCATTTTTACTAGACTTTCTGAAATTTTTTAACGTACAGGTATTTTCTATTATAATGTTATATTTGCAGTCCTAAAAACCTTCCTTGCTTTCTTCAAAACTGCATATTAAAAACACATCGTTTTGGAAAAATTAGCATTGAAGATACACTCCTCAACCTGCAGTGGGGTTTTGTTTTTATTTTTGGTGAGGAAGATTGGCCCTAAGCTAACATCTGTTGCCAATCTTCCTCTTTTTGCTTGAGGAAGATTGTCCCTAAGCTAACACCTGTGCCAATCCTCCTCTATTTTGTATGTGGGACACTGCCACAGCATGGCTTGATGAGTGGTGTCCACTCATCCACGCCTGGGATCCGAACCCGCGAATGCTGGGCCGCTGAAGCAGAGCATGCAAACTTAACCACTATGCCACCAGGCCAGCCCCGTCCGATGGCTTTATAACAAGAGCTCTAACCAAAACATCAACTGTGACCTCAAGAGATAATATGAGCCACTCAGGCAGGCAGCTGCCAGGGTGGGTATTAAAAATTCACAAAAATGCACAGTGGAGAAATGCTGGCAGCACTTATTGTAGCTGAGCGAGTGGGTGACAGGGCAATGCAGGCAACAGTGAACCCTGAGCCTGTGCAGAGCTGATCACATGGGCACAGGAGACAAAGCAACCTCCCACGAGCCAGAAGTCAAAGATGATGGAGACCAGCCTTGGGAGGAGGGAGAGGAGCCCCTGGCAAAATGCTTGTTTTCTTAAAACACAGGGTAAAGGGGCCCCTGCTACTAACGCAACAGAGCAACTGGGGGCTATACCCTTTCCTACGGGAGGCTATAAAATTCCACTCCAGCTATGCCAGCTCTCCTTGCCTAGGGTAAAATCTACATGAGTAGATACAATTTCTGCATTCTTCGACATAGAACAACACTCTGTTTACCATTCAAATGTGAACCAATCTGCACTGTACAACACATTATATTTCATCTACTAAAAACAGCATTAAATTTCCCTGCTATTAATCTAAACATTTATATTAAAATACATCAACATATATATAAAAGATTTTCATTTTGTCTTTGATTTGCAGTAGTTTTACTATGATATATTGTAGTCATTATCTATCGCTGCATAACAAATTACCCTAAAAGATTGTATTATTATATAAAAGAATGTGCCTGTTCTTGGAAGATTAGGATGAAGCATTAAGGGATAAAGTGTCAGAATGTCTCCAACTTACTCGAAAAAGGTTTAGAAAAAACATACCAGAAAGAGAGAGACTGTGTATGTACACAAAAAGAGATGGAAAAAATGTAGCAAAACAATGAATCTAGGTGAAGGGTATATGGGTGTTCCTTGTGTTATTCCTGCAACTTTGCTACAGGATTAATTTTTTTCAAAATAAAACACTGGAAGAAGTAAAGTCTTACGCTATGAATTTAAGGGAAAAAAACCCCAATTCCTCATATTAGTTTTTTTTTTTTTTTTAATAGTCCTAATCCATAGGCAGCATGACTTCACCAAAAATTTTTTAAATTCGTCTGTACTTAGGCTTTAAAGGTCCTTAAACTTAGCCAGTCCAAGGGAAAGGAACCAAGCAAAATAAAAGAAACTTGATTCCAGGGGCCGGACCCATGGGCTGATGATTACGTTTGGTGCGCTCCACTTTGGCGGCCCGGGTTTAGCTTCTGGGTGCAGACCTACACCACTCAACGGTGGCCATGCTGTGGCAGCAACACACATACAAAATAGAGGAAGAGTGGCAGAGATGTTAGCTCAGGGAGAATCTTCGTTGGCCAAAAAAAAAAAAAAAGGAAGAAACTATTCTACACGTGAGACAAGGTTTTGTTAGTTTGTTTTTGCTGAGGAAGATTAGCCCTGAGCTAACATCTATGCCAATCTTCCTCTACTTTATATGTGGGTCGCCACCACAGCCATGAGTGACATGTGGTGTAGGTCCACACCTGGGATCCAAACCCACGAACCCAGTCCACCAAAGTGGAATGTGCCAAACTTAACGACTACACCACGGGGCCGGCCCCGAGACAAGATTTTTATAGCCATTTAACAAGAAAGATTTCTAACATTCCATATAGTTCAGATAAGGTGTCATTAAAAACATGAAAATTATTTTCTTTGTGTTCTAGTAATGTAACTTGAAAACTTCCTCCACGGCTACCTAGATATGCCTTGTAAAATATAACAAATAAATGAATCATGGAACTGGAAAATCACCTTGGGAAACAAACAGGAAGCTAAATGAGAAATCATGAGCTGCAACTAAGCCTCACAAAGGTGTCCAAATCAGTAATGTAAGAGCTTGAGTTTTAATGCCCACATGGAAAAGATAAGGCCTTGGGCCTATGTAAGGCACACAGCTGTAAATGAGAAACAGCCCTCCTGCCCCACAACCCCACCCCCACTCCCCCCAAAAAACCCCAAATCCTTGCAGTGCTATACCCTAAACAAAATTCTAATTCACCTACAGGCATAAGGAAATAATTAGAAAACTTCTCTATCTCGGCCTGAATCCAGATTAGAAGAGGGGTGGCAGGTGAGGGGAGGAATCTCCCCTGGGAATTCATAAACATGTCCTGTACTTCACTTGAGTTAGGGGTTCAAGTTTATATTACTCATGTGGTCCAAAAACTACAAAAATGGTAAGTTAAAGTAAGAATTTGTCCTAGCAGGACCCGCATATCCCAATGCCTTCTTCCACCAAGCTTACCGTGTGCAGTGACTACCTGTCTTTGGGCTAGCCTGCCTTTTATACCATTTAGTTCTTTTCAGTAAAGGCAATTTGTCAGATATTTAATTCACTGTTTTATAAAACTTCTTAAATTGATAAGATCATAGATTAAACAAAATATGTTACTTATAAAAGGCCCTAGGCTGGTGATAACTTTGGGTATGTTACAGAACCATTTGTAAAACCATTCTGGAAAAATAGGCCCATCTACTCAATTCAGTTTTTTAAAAGGTAAAATGTTTAAAGCAAGGGAAACCTAGAACTATAGTTTTCCTGTAAGGAACACTTTGTTCTTTACTCTTGTTTATTTAATACGATTTTGTAAATATTCTTATTTTAGAGCAAAAAAGGTTTCAATAGACTTTCATAGTACTTGAAAATCAAATGTCTATTTGTTAATACATCAACTTTACATCTAATAAAGCTACCTCCAGACTACTCCTTAAGTTGTAAAAAATACATTGTTTCAAGTTATTGACATTGCATATACCTGACAATGACTTCATTTACTCATCAATTTCAATCCAGCCATATTAAAGCAAAATATTTCTCATATATTTTTTACCTCTTCGAGGTGTTTCTTCCCCATTTGGAAGTCCACTTGGAACAATATCCTGACCTGCTCCCATTCTCTGATCTTGCTGCTGCTGCAATTGTCTTATCATTCCATCAAGAACACTGGACTCTGGGCTTCGTTCACCATTATCATTGGTTTGTAAGCTTATAATTTGTTCAATTACCTCTCCATCACCTGCAAATCAATGAATGAATATAAAATCATAACATATATAAAACCGAAAAAAACACTGTCAGAAGACTACAATTAAATCACATTAGAAAGTGTCAGAATTCCTGCTTTTACAAAAATAATCAATTAAAGATATCCTTTTTATTTATAACTAATTAAGTCAGAGAAAAGATTCAAAACAAAATCCTTCCTCTGGAGTACTAAGCACCACAAAAACCTCCTCAACAGGGGCCATATATAATGATAAAAGGGACACTCCACCAAGAACACATATCACTTTTAAATATATATGCACCTAATACAGGAGCACCAAGGTACACAGAGCAACTATTAACAAACCTAAAAGAAGATATTAACAACAACACAATAATAGTAGGGCATCTTAACACTCCACTCTCATCAATGGACAGATCATCCAGACAGAAAATCAACAAGGAAATAATGGACAAATGAAAACTTGATGAGATGGACTTAATAGATATATACAGAGCACTCCATCCAAACACAGCAGATTACACATTCTTCTCAAGCACAAATGGAACATTCTCAAGAACAGACCATATGTTGGGAAACAAGGCAGGCTTATATAAATTTAAGAAGATTGAAATCATAACAAGCATCATTTCTGACCATAATGCCATGAAGTTAGAAATCAACTACAAGGAAAAAACCGGGAAAGAGACAAAGCTGTGGAGACTCAACAACATGGTACTAAACAACCAATGGATCACTGATGAAATTAAAGGAGAAATCAAATCATATCTGGAGACAAATGAAAATGAAAATACACCATACTAACTCATATGGGATACAGCAAAAGCAGTCCTGAGAGAGAAACTCAGAGCAATACAGGCCCACCTTAACAAACAAGAAAAAGCCCAAATAAGCAACCTCCAACTACGCCTAATAGAATCAGAAAAAGAAGAACAAAGAACAAAGAGGGAAATAATAAAAATCAGAGCAGAAATAAATGAAAGTGAAATCAAAAAAAGAGTAGAAAGGATCAATGAAACAAAGAGCTGGTTCTTTGAGAAGATAACCAAACTGACAAACCCCCTTAGCCAGACTCACCAAGAAAAAAAGAGAGAAGGCTCAAATAAAATTAGAAATGAAAAAGGAGAAATTATAACAGATACCCCAGAAATATAAAACACTATAAGAGAATGAAAAACTGTATGCCAACAAATTGGACAATCTAGAAAAAACGGATAAATTCTTAGACTCATACAACCTCCCAAAACTGAATCAAGAAGAAATACAGAACCTGAATAGACCAATCACAAGCAAAGAGATTAAAACAGTAATCAAAAACCTCCCCAAAAATAAAAGTCTGGGACCAGATGGCTTCTCTGGAGAATCTTACCAAACATTCAAAGAAGACTTAATACCTATCCTTCTCAAACTATTCCAAAAAACAGAGGAAGATGGAACACTTCCCAACACATTCTACAAGGCCAACATCATCCTGATACCAAAGCCAGGCGAAGACAATACTAAGAGGAAAAACGACAGACCGATATCCCTGATGAACATAGATGCAAAAATCCTCAACAAAATATTGGCAAACCGAATACAGCAATACATTCAAAAGATCATACACCATGATCAAGTGGGATTTATACCAGGGACACAGGGATGGTGCAACATCCGCAAATCAATCAATGTGATACACCACATTAACAAAACGAGGAATAAAAACCAAATGATCATCTCAAATGTCTCAATGCAGACAAGGCTTTTGACAAGATCCAACATCCATTTATGATAAAAACTCGCAACAAAATGGGTATAGAAGGAAAGTACCTTAACATAATAAAGGCCATATATGACAAACCCACAGCCAACATCATAATCAGTGGGGAAGAACTGAAAGCCATCCCTCTCAAAACAGGGACAAGACAAGGGTGCCCACTCTCGCAACTCTTATTCAACACAGTACTGGAGGTTCTGGCCAGAGCAATTAGGCAAGAAAAAGGAATAAAAGGAATCCAAATAGGCAACGAAGAAGTGAAACTCGCATTGTTTGCAGATGACATGGTCTTATATATAGAAAACCCTAAAGAATCCATTGGAAAACTATTAGAAATAATCAATAACTACAGTCAAGTTGCAGGGTACAAAATCAACTTACAGAAATCAGTTGCATTTCTATATACCAACAATAAACTAACAGAAAGGGAACTCAAGAAGACAATCCCATTTACAATTGCAACAAAAAGAATAAAATATCTAGGAATAAATTTAACCAAGGAAGTGAAAGACCTATACAATGAAAACTATAAGACATTATTGAGTGAAATACATGATGACATAAAGAAATGGAAAAATATTCCATGCACATGGATTGGAAGAATAAACATAGTTAAAATGGGGGCCGCCCCCGTGGCTTAGCGGTTAAGTGCACACACTCCACTACTGGCATCCCGGGTTCGGATCCCGGGCGGACACCAACACACCACTTCTCCGGCCATGCTGAGGCGGTGTCCCACATACAACAACTAGAAGGATGTGCAACTATGACATATGACTATCTACTGGGGTTTTGGGGGTAAAAAAAAAAAAAAAAAAAGGAGGAGGATTGGCAATAGATGTTAGCTCAGAGCCGGTCTTCCTCAGCAAAAAGAAGAGGATTAGCATGGATGTTAGCTCAGGGCTGAATTTCATCACACACACACAAAAAAAGTTAAAATGTCCATACTACCTAAAGCAATCTATAGATTCAATGCAATCCCAATCAGAATCCCAAGGACATTCTTCACAGAAACAGAACAAAGAATACTAACATTCATGTGGGGCAACAAAAGACCCCCAATAGCTAAAGCAATCCTGAGAATAAAGAACAAAGCTGGAGGCATCATAATCCCTGAGTTCAAAACATACTACGAAGCGATAGTAATTAAAACAGCGTGGTACTGGTACAAAAACAGACACGCAGATCAATGGAACAGAATTGAAAGTCCAGAAATAAAACTTCACATCTACAGGCAGCTAATCTTTAGCAAAGGAGCTAAGGACATACAGTGGAGAAAGGAAAGTCTCTTGAATAAATTGTGCTGGGAAAACTGGACAGCCACTTGCAAAGAATCAAAGTAGACCATCTTCTTTCGCCATACACAAAATTTAACTCAAAATGGATCAAAGACCTGAAGATGAGACATGAAACTATAAAACTCCTGGAGGAAAACACAGCTAGCACACCACTCGTCATCACCCATAAAGGGATCTTTTCAATTCCACATCTACTCAGACAAGGGAAACAAAAGAAAAAATAAACAAGTGGGACTTCATCAGATTAAAGAGTTTCTACAAGGCAAATGAAACCAGGATCAAAATGAATAGGGAACCCACGAGCTGGGAAAAAGTATTTGCAAACCATATATCCGACAAGGGCTTAATCTCCATAATATATAAAGAACTCACACAACTGAACAACAAAAAAACAAACAACCCAATCAAAAAATGGACAGAGGAAATGAACAGACGCTTCTCCAAAGAAGATATACAGATGGCCAACAGGCACATGAAAAGATGCTCAACATCACTAATCATCAGGGAAATGCAAATCAAAACCACACTAAGATATCACCTTACACCCGTTAGAATGGCTATAATCACCAAGACAAAAAACAACAAATGCTGGAGAGGCTGTGGAGAAATGGGAACCCTAATCTACTGCTGGTGGGAATGCAAACTGGTGCAGCCTCTGTGGAAAACAGTATGGAGATTCCTCAAAAAATTAAAAATAGAAATACCTTATGATCCAGCTATCCCACTACTGGGTATCTACCCAACGAACCTGAAACCAACAATCCAAAGAGGCTTATGCACCCCTATGTTCATCGCAGCATCACTCCCTATAGCCAAGACATGGAAGCAAGCCAAGTGTCCCTCAACTGATGACTGGATAAAGAAGACGTGGTATATATATGCTATGGAATACTACTAAGCCATAAAAAAAACAAAATAGTCCCATTTGCAACAACATGGATGGACCTGGAAGGTACCATGTTAAGCAAAATAAGGCAGAAAGAGAAAGACAAACAGGGCATGATTTCACTCATATGTGGAAGATAAACGAACACACGGACAGCTAGAACTGTTTGGTGGTTACCAGGGGCTAGGGGGGTGGGGGGCGGGCACAGGGGATGGAGGGATGCACTTAGGTGATGACTGACAAACAATAATGTACAACAAGAATTTCACAATAAAAAAAAAAGAAAAAACAAAAACCAAAAAAACAAACAAACAAAAAACCTCCTCAACAGAGCCTCTGAAATCCCTAGAAGTGAGTACATGGAAACACATTTCAGTGAAAGCTTATTTTGCTGTCTCACACTAACACCCCTCATTTACACAAGATATACTTCATTAAAATTTTCCAAGGTTATTTCCCAAGGTCTCTGACGAGAACAAAGAAACAGTGTGTGACTTCCGATGTAGAGAAAAGCAGTGCTATTTCTTCTCTCCTGTCTTGAGAAATAATAAAGAGAGAGTAACACCTTTTAGCCATTCAACAAACTACAACTCTCCTCCTGCTCCAAGCATGCTGAGAGCACATGTGCAGTTGAGGGAGGGAGCTACACACGCCTCTCGCACTAAGCTTAAGTTACTCTATCTCTTAGATATGCTTTTAGCATAGCCAGTACCCATAAGTCTTACCTCAAGTACAAAACCAGATTTGTTTAAAACTATCTTTGCTTTATTTTTCAAATAATACATTTTCAGAGATATTTAATAGGTTTAGAGCTAGTGTTAATGGAAAAAAAGCATTAGATGGTTGTGGAGTCTGGAAATTAATCTAACATTAACATTTTCATGCAAACTATTCCTTACGTATCCTCCCACCATAAGACATCTTCTTTGAACATTATATATGACACAGATCAACCCATCAACTTATAAGCATAACTCTAACAAATTGAAATTAATAAGGTATTAAGCAAAAAGAATGCCAAGATACAACTTGCCTCCACAGTAACAGATCCAGAAACTGAAAAATGCCATGTACTGTTTCAGGGGGAAAAAATACTTCCATCCTACTCCCTGAGTTAGATTCTTTTACACCTCACTGATAACATCTCCATTTTACTATGGAAATCAATGGAGAATTTATAAGAACTAAATGTCGTAACTTAGATTAACTGTCTTAAAATCACTAAAAACTTTGGATCGCTCGCGAAAAATGAGCTAAGAAAGCAAGAAGTGGAGCCCTAACCTAAAAAGATAAAAAGATTTTAATTAGAACTGGGTATAACATAAAATTCTTATGGTCACAACATGGAACCAAACGGAAAACAGTAGAAAAGGAAACTTCTAATCATCTTCCCCTCCCTCCAAAAAACCTAGGTCTATATCTTTTCCTTCACGGCACAGAACACTTAAATGTAACTTGGCAAATATCATCAGAATGATAATTGCTTCTCTTTGGCATAATGCAGTCACTATTCAAACACTAAAAGAGGGTCCCACTCATGAAGGCTTAAATGCTACAGGAACTGCCCTCCTACCATGAACTACTACAACACTGGAAAAAATACATATACGCAACAAGGACTTTCAGACACTGGACAGCAGACAGCCCAGGACTGTGATCCCTGAGAGAAGACAAACAATGGAGTCCAGTCTTTTGATTGCTCCAGGTAACAGCCTAGAGACAATTTCCAGGCTGCAGAACAAGAAGAGGGGAACCCAAACAGCATCCTGGGGTCTCACTGAGTTGAGAAGACAGTGGTCAGAGTCTGGCAGCAGGGAAGAAGACTAAAATATGCATGGCTGAATATCAGAGGGGAGTGAATTGCAAAGAAAGTTCAAAAATATCTAGTGAGGTCCAATCAATTCTTTGACTAAAATAATACGTGCACACACTGGGTAAAACTCCACCATGCTGGGGAAAAAACATGAGAAAGCAGTATGCCAAAAATCTCCTAGTGCTCTCACAGGGCTGGAAATCATTCATGTTCCCACCAGGCAGAACAGAGAGACTTAATACACAGCAGAAATGCTTTATTTATGCATACTTCCAATTTTAACACTCAGAATATTTAAAACCCGGGCCGCCAGTAGCGGAGCACGCGCACTTAACCGCTAAGCCACGGGGCCGGCCCAGTAACAGTCTTCAAAACAATAAACACTACCAAGGATAAAGAGGAACATTTTATAATGATTAAAGAATTAATTTACAAAGAAGACAATGTGAAATGTGTATGCACCTAATAACAGAACTTTAAAATACATAAAGCAAAAATTGATAAAACCAATGGGAGAAATAAGACAAACCCACACAATAGTTGAATATTTCAGCACTCCCTATAATAGCCCACAAATGGGAAAAAGCCAAATGTCCTTCAACTTTTAGTGAATATGGATAAATGATGATATATCCATACAATGGAGCATTATCAACATACAGGAACGAACGACTGATACACGCAACAATAGGAATGAATCTCAAAAGCACCATGCTAAGTTACAGAAGCCAAACACAAAAGACTACATATTGTACAATTCCATTTATACAAAATTCCTTAAAAAGGTAAAATTAAGTGACAAAATAGAACAGTCCTTACAAAGGGCAAGGAGAAGGGAAAGAATCAACTCCAAACACAATAGGCCCAAGAAAATTTTGGGGGGCACTGGAAACATTCTATATCTTGACTGTTTAACATTCGTCAAAACTCATCTGAACTGTACACTTAAAACTGGTGAATTTTGTTCCATGTAAAGTATACCTCAATCCAATTATTAAACGTTGGAGGGGCCAGCCCAGTGGCGCAAGCAGTTAAGTGCATGCGCTCCGCTGCAGCAGCCTGGGGTTTGCAAGTTCAGATCCCGGGCGTGCGCCAACACACCGCTTGTCAAGCCATGCCGTGGCAGCATCCCATATAAAGTAGAGGAAGATGGGCAGGATGTTAGCTCAGGGCCAATCTTCCTCAGTAAAAAAACAAAAGAGGAGAATTGGCATCCGATGTTAGCTCAGGGCTGATCTTCCTCACAAGAAAAATAAATAAATAAACATTGGAAACAGTAAACACACAGTAATTTACATTAAGCTTTAACCTTAAATATAACTGATGATTTAGTGTTTCAGTAAATCAATCCTCATCCAAACAAATAGAAACATTGTTTTTTCTTTACCTAATATCTGTAGGGAGTTACACCGCACTGCTATGAACAAACACAAAAAAACAATACAAAAACTCTGTACTTGGCTAGGATAGGCAAAGTACAAGATGGGACTGGAACATCCTGTGCCAGCAAGAAAGTGTTCAAGGAATGATAGGGACTTGGGGAAGGACACAAAACACAGCTTGAAGAGGCTCTCCTAGTCAAATCTAAGGATATTATCACAACAAAATAGTGACAGTAATGGGTTATAACCCACTGTATAGCAACCCAAAAGTCCATACTAAAACTTAAAGAACTACATAAATAAAGGAAGAGCAGTAGATGCCAACTAATAAAATGCAGATTCAATGATGACAGTTAGAAAACAACCATTTTGCAACCTTCATAGTAACAACTGATTCAGACAAAAATGCTCAATGGATCCTAAAACTTGTGGTAAAGTTTGGTAAGGAACAGGTTATTTACATCATATCTCCCCACAAATTACTTACTAACTACAAAGAGAAAAATAGTGGAGCAACTTGGCAGGTACCACCTTAACCAAGTGTTCAAAGACGACATTACCAATAATTGGACAAAACACAGTCATAAGCATCCTGATATGAAGGAAGGCTACAACATCATTTATGTTGTATTTTGTCAAAAATGCATAACCAGAACTTAATGACAACAAAATTTAACGTGCAGTCTGAAACTGAAATCTACATCAGGGGAGAACAAAAAAAGCTATAAAAGTTATTATGGAGCAACAGACAAAATCTGATTATAGAGTATAGATCTGATAATAGTATTATATGAGCATTAAATGTCCTAACTTCAATAACTGTTTACCATTATGTAAGAAAATATCTTTGTTCCTGGAAAATACGTATGGAAGTATTTAGGGGTAAATGGACATAAGGTCCAGAACTTAAGTTTCAAATGGTTCAAAACAATAATATGTCTCCAGTGACAGAACTATGAAACAAATATTGCAAAATATTAACACTGGTGAATCTGAAAGCACAGGACTTCTCTGTAATATTCTTTACATTTTTCAAATAACAAGTTTAAAATAAAAAGACTTTGCACTTACTTGTTGCCACATAGCCTAGCTGTGGAACCAAATGTTCATCTGCAGAATTTTCTCGGCCTGGCACTAATCTCTGATACTTAGTTGGATGAGGATTTCCATCTACATCTACCAAGAATGGTGGAGGCATAAGGTGAGGAGCCTGCTGAGTTTGCTCGTCTAAGACATAATTATTAGAATCTCTAATCAGTGGTCGATAGTCAGTATGGAAGAACATCTGATCAGGAATCTAGAAAAGGGAAGTTTACAGATTGATATTTTGAGGTTTATATAAAGAAAACAAAGATTAAACAGCAATTTTATAATTAGAAAAACTAAGGATATCAAATTAATACATCTAACCTATTTTCAAAACACCCTTCATAACTACTTTAGAGGCCATAAAAAAGTATGAAAAATGACCTTTTCATATGGCTTGCTGCATCCAAAACCAAATATCAGAAGGTGCCCATGAGAATCTGTACAGGCAAAATGCTGTCCATCTTGTGAAAACTTACAGTCAAATACAGCTCCATGTCCTTGGCCTTCAATCTAGGAAACACAGAGGGAAAAAGTTACGACCAATTCTAGACAAGTGCTTTTGCTGTATCAACTGTTTTCATGTTGATAGCTTCCTATAATATATCACTTCTGAAAACAATATTTAAAAACAAATTTTGCACTAAGTATATGTCAATTAATATTTTCAGAAAATAAAATTCATTTTAGATACCACTAGCCTAGAAAAAATCTTGAAAGATCTTCTAAGAATTAGTTCTCAAAATGATCAAATGAAGGATCATAAACCATCCAAAGTGAAGGCTTTCTTTACTTCTGAATGACAAGCACTTTCATAAACTTTTGTTTCAATATATAACAAAAGGCTATTGACTAATAACCTACAAGGCAAATGATTAAAGATTAACAAAGTTTGGTATTCATGAACTAAAACCAATACTTTTCTGGAGTTTAAATTTTCTAAGATGACTGACCATCACGCAAAATTTGGAATGCTGCAAAGTCTCAAGGGGGCATGTGTAAATGCCTGTACCAGCAACTACCTTATTTCAAACTGCCACAAATTTCAGGAAGGATGCCCTAAGTGCATCATGAACATGTCTTAGATTACTTTTAAACTCTTTTATTCTTGCTTTTCAACTCTAAATTATATTAGTTTAGTAGCAATTTATAGTTAAAGGAGTTGTTTCATTAACTCAACAGTGTTGAGCTAAGCATATTTGCTGTCTGAGCCTCTAACTTTCCAATAACTAAACTTTAGGGCAAGTTTGATCAGTGCTGGAAAAACGAATCATCCACCCGCTAATTGCCAAAACAAACTCACACACATGCCCAAATAACCTGCATGAAAAGCGACTTCACTACTGCTATACCACACGTGAATGGGTGCCAATTAACAAACTTGAAAAAAAATTAAGTTACTGGGATATTTAGGGCACTGCTGAATAAGATAATATGTATACAAATATGTATTCTCTCATAACATTAAAAAAATGTATAAATATATTTCCTCCGATTCTTTGTTAAAACATAGGAACACATAAAACATGGTCCTTGGAGAAGCCACCTCCACCACAGCCCGACCTACAACTTGGCATTTCACATCCCTGCCCTGGGACCTCCAGTCCAAGTAAAGAAGAGGGCAGTGAGGAGGCAGGAGCAAGAGCCCTCAGCAGGCAAGGCGAAGATGGTGGCAGCAACTGTCCTGTCATACACATGGACCTAACTACATCAAAAGCTTAGCTAAGGGTACTTGCTGAGAAGGAAGTTTTCCCAAGAGGTCAAACCTATCTAAGCAGAGCAAGCCAGACTTGGGTTTTTACCTGCAGTTTGAAGAGTCCTACACAATGATTCCTGACAAAATGCAACCTGCAACTATGCCTGGAGAACAATTCAACGTCACATTAAAGTTTATTATGTATTTAATGAAATATTGTTCTGTTAGTAATTTACAACCCTATGTAATTTGTCTAGCATTAGAGAATTAGGAGCCTCTCAGCTGAGCAGTAAAGAACTCAGTATACAAGGCCATTTTTGGTGTCTGACTGAAAATACGATCATCGTTGCCCACTTGAGACATTTTCAGATTATTCTCAGGGCCGGCCTGGTGGCATAGCAGTTAAGTTCGCGTACTCCGCTTCGGCGGCCCGGAGTTCGCAGGTTCGTATCCCAGGTGTAGACCTATGTACCATTCATCAAGCCATGCTGTGGTGGCATCCCACAAACAAACAGAGGAAGATTAGCACAAATGTTAGCTCAGGAACTATCTTCCTCACCAAAAAAAAAAGAAAAGATTATTCTTTGGCTTACAGGTTGTTTAGCTTATATTCTGCTTGAAGCCTGAATTAATGTTGATTTCTGTTTTGATAAGTTAAGTTCAGGATTTAACGTTCTTATTGAGCTTTAAAGGATAATTAAGAAGACGGATAAACCTATGAATTTTAAGACCGTAGAAAAACTGCTGACGAAGGCTTGGTTCTTTCTCCAATAATTCGAACACACAGATATGCAACTTTCAGAGATGGCTAATTATGTATCTGCAATTCAGTCATGCTATTTGAGCTGCTTTAGCACACTTAATGTTAAAAAATAAAATACTGCATTTTAAACTGTTTGTTAAGAAACTATCCAGGATATGCACACTGAAATAATTTTAAGTAAAAACAAGACAAAACAAAACATGGAACACATGCACTACTTAGGCCTTCAATCAAAGGTCCAAGAACCACTCATCTACAGGTTGCTACTACACTGCCTCCAAAATTAATTACACTCTAAACTGGAACTCAATATAAGCTAGAGAGTAATTTTACAAAACGTACCACATATATCAATCAAAAGCCTTAACAACATTGAAACCCTTTTACACAATAATTCCCTCAGAATTTATTCTAAGGAAATAATCAGGGATCTATATCAATAGCCATGTATGAGGATATTCAAAGTGTTATTGCTGTGCATATTTTAGAAACCACTTAAATAATAATAGTAAATTAACTATATAAGTAACATTCTTCTGAGAAAGGCTGAATTTATAGTCAAATATATATTTGCAAATTCTTAAAAAAAATATTTAAGGCTTTGAAAAACACCCTTTACATAAAATGAAAAAAGACTACAAAACTATACGCAAGAATGCCAATTAATAAATATGGAAAGAATGATACTATTAGAAAATCTTCGGGCCGGCCCTGTGGCTTAGCGGTTAAGTGCGCGCGCTCCGCTACTGGCGGCCCAGGTTCGGATCCCGGGTGTGCACCGACGCACCGCTTCTCCAGCCATGCTGAGGCCGCGTCCCACATACAGCAACTAGAAGGATGTGCAACGATGACATACAACTATCTACTGGGGCTTTGGGAAGAAAAAAAAGGAGGATTGGCAGTAGATGTTAGCTCAGAGCCGGTCTTCTTCAGCAAAAAGAGGAGGATTAGCATGGATGTTAGCTCAGGACTGATCTTCCTCACAAAAAAAAAAAGAAAGAAAGAAAATCTTCAATGGATGCTAATATTTGTAAGTGAATGTTAAATGAGGAACAGGATATTCACAGTCTCAAAACAGCTCCTGAAAAAATTAGTTTAATAATTACAAAGAGGAAAAACAACTATTTTATAGTGAGGAAACCTGGCAGATGCTACCTTAACCAAATACTTAAAATTATCATAGCAGTAGTAGGACAAATAAACATCATGTATTTCCTAATATAATGCATGGAGGACACATTATCATTTATGTCTTATTCTATCAAAAAAAATGTGTAACAGAATCGAATCATGAAGAAACATCAGACAAAACAGGGATCTTCTGTACCATTACTGCCTATACTCATCAAAAAAGTTAAAGAGCAAGAAATAGGAAAAAAGATAGAAAGATTGTTGAAAATTAAAGAAAAGTAGAGATATACAACCACTTAATACACTGCAGGATCCTGAATTAGATCCTGAATTAGGTGCAAGGGGCAAAAATATAACTATAAAGACATTGGGACAATTGACAAAATTTGAATATAAACCCAGATTAGATAATGCTACTTTATCAATGTTAAATCTGCTGATTTTTGCAACTATATTGTGATTACATACGATAATTTTTAAAATATGCAATGGGATCCTAATTTGATTTTAGAATATACACGTGCAAAAAGAAAAAAGGCTAGAAAAGCCCAATGATGTCTGATTCGCTAGATGACTTTCCTGAATATTACTTATATTTTCTATTATCAAATATTTTAATAAATTTAAATAGTGAAAAAGTTGTATATAATTATCATAATTTTGCCAATTTAAACACAGACAGGAACACACTCACACATATATACAAAGCTAAGTAGACAACTTGCAAATCGTTCCCTCACGTGAATCAGTTATACACAGAATTTCATGTATGCATGTCTGTCAGATATTTATTAGGCTTTAAGTTCCCTAATTTCTAGAAATATGAACTGCCAATATATACAGATCAGTTTCTGGCTAAACTTCATAATCCAAATACCTGAAAAAAAATGCAAGCATGCAAGAAGATACATCTCACTTCACTTACCATATTAAAATAATGTTTCATCTTGGTGCCTTTTGTAATATCCCATATAAATATGCTGCCATCATGTCCTGCAGATAACATAATTCTGGAATCAAAGGGATGTGTCTCCAAAACAAATACTTCATCAGCATGTCCCTTTATCCAACAAAGTCATATAGTTAAGGAAGGTTTGCAAGTTATAAGTTTAAAACGAAAAACCCATATTGTCATAATATATAAGGGCTTTTAAAAATGTATTAATGACAGTAATTTATACATTAGTACATATACAAATTTCTATTCAGTTAATAATATAAATGAAAGAAACATTTAATATATTAATTTTATAGCTTCAAAAATAAAATTATAGTTCAAAAAATCTTGACTTGTTATACTGTATAAATACTACCTACCAATAAGTTATGAAGCAGTTGTCCAGTATAAGAATTCCACACTTTGAGGACATGATCATTCACAGCTGTGACAACAATACTATCATTCTGATTCCAAGCTATCATTGTTACTTTGGGTTTCATAAATCTTTCCTCTTCGGAAGATAAGTCCCTAAGTAAAAATACTCGATATGTAAATTCATTTAGATGGTAGGCTATACATTGTATACAATCCCTCATCAATAAAAAAACAACTAAAGTAAGCCACTTCATATGCATATGTTCTCATCTCTATGGAGGGATCATCACATCTGACCCTTAACAGATTATCTATAAACAGACAGGGGCAAAACCCAGAGGAGTTGGGGACAATTTAGAAGCAGTTCAGAGACTGAATAAAGGCAGATTTGAGGACACCTCTGCTGCTCATGAAAGCAAAGCTTTTTCTCTCTCTTTCCTATCACTTCTTTCTCTCCTCTTCTTCTCCAGCAGATGACAAAAAATTTTAGGAAGACAGAAAGAAGCTAATTCATCTTCATATCCCCAATGTCTAGAAAAGTGCCTGACACACACTCAATTTGTTGAACTGTAAATGAGACTGTCTTCATCCCTTTATAATTCCCTACAGACTGTTCCTATGGGTGCCTTGGCAAAAATGGTCTTGGATACACATGTCTGCAATGGTCTGCAGCCTTTACAAGCAAAGTTTCTCTGTAAAATATAGCAGTCGTAGTAAACAGTGGGAGAGTGAAGAAAAGCCCAGCTGCTTCTGAAATCACACAACACATTCTAAGAAATTATAAACATATAATAAACTAAACATATTTTAATTAAAGAAAACAGCTATAAGAATATGGAATAAGCATAACAGCTATCTATGTAAGCATAAGGGAACACCGACGAGAAAATAATTCTAACTAGACTGGTCAGGGGAAAGTGTAACATTAAGAGGTGAAATGGAATAAAGGCTAAGACTCCACACTTTAAACTAAAAGGCATTCCCTGTTAAAAACCTTGAATTTACTAACAGACATGTTGCATTCCATCAAGTTGTTCAGCCAAGATTAGAACACTAAAACAAACATACCCACCAATTTTACATACAGAAAATTCTGCTTTTTAAGATTTGAAAGAGATAAAACTTTAAATGAGCAAAGAACATTTCCACCATGAAGGGACTTACAGGAAAAGTTCTCTCCATGAAGAGAGTATGGCAGCAAGAAAACTAGGCAATTTTCAGGCTCATTAAAAAAATTTTTATTCAAGTTCTTACACTGATGCTCCTATTTTGCCTAATAAAATAACTTATCATAGGTGAATACGATTTCAAATTATCTTCATTCCCATTCCCCTTCATTATTTCAGTTAATCAATGACTGACAGCATTCACTTTCACACTAAGATGGTTTTCAATGTCAGATGTAACATTTTTAAATAATGGTAAAGATTTAATTTGTGAACAAGGACTACCAGATTTCCCTTTCCATTCTCTACCACAAATCATTCCCTAAAAATATTAAGATCAAATTTATTTTGAAACTCAATACAACTGTCTGTGCCAGAGCAGAGAATATGAATTAATTTCTCCTACAATTATTGAAAATAAAGCAGACATGAGGATTTCCAAAAGACAATATGTATAACATTTCTCAGAAAAACTGATATGAAAAAGTCTAAACTTTAGAAATAAATTCTAAACTAAAATTTATCATGTTAGATTTCTATTACAGTGTAACTAAAATAATAATGATATTTGCAATGGACAAAAGAACACTGCTATGCCTACTCTAGACCAAGCAGTATGCTAGAAACTTTTGTTATATCATTTAAAATTCCCAGTAATACTTAAAGGGCAAGTAGTCTTATTTTCCAGATGATGAAACAGATTAATATTAAATGATGTTCTCAAAATTATACAGCTATAAACAGTACAGTAGTCCCCCCCTTATCCACGGTTCTGCTTTCTGCAGTTTCAGTTACCTGCAGTCCAAAAACACAGTACAATAAGACATTTTGAGAGAGAGAGCACATTCATGTAACTTTTATTACAGTATATTGTTATAACTGTTTTATTTTATTATTATTGTTGTTAATCTCTTATTGTGCCTAATATATAAATTAAACTTGATCATAGGTATGTATATACAGGAAAAAACATAGTATATATAGGGTTCAGTACCACCTGTGGTTTCAGGCATCCACTGGGCGTCCAGGAACATATCCCTCACAGATAAGGGAGTTTTGTACAAATGGTACTTGAGCAAAGGTCTGATTCCAAAACATGTATTCCTCCCACCACCCGTATAGCCTCCCAATATACACTAAACTAAAAAGAGCAGTGTATTTCAAATTTGTAATATTTACCTTGGGAAGTACTAAATTTATCTCAAAGATGCCCCCAAAAAAGTCAGAAAGTGGAGTGTTGATGGAGGGGGACAGTTGGACAACCTTGCCTTCAAAGCTGTTTTACAAGCCAAAATTTTAGCATGCAAAAAAAGTCACTACAGAAAAGTAAAATTTCCACACTTGACATACCTGTATTATTTTTATAATTTTTTTTTTAATTATAGGTGGTTTTAAATGCAACACCTAAGAGAAAGTCAATGCTATGCACAACAGTAAAATAAATATGTTGTTCTTTCCTACATAAATGTAAGGATAAATTCTTCGGGATATAGACTTGTTCTGATTTATCAGATACGTAGGAAGTAGCCATTCATTCAGATCGTAGCTCTTTATAATAGAAGGTAGCTCCAATCCCCTGAACAAAGCAATCAACCAACCAGGGAGAGAGAGATTCAGTACTTATGATGTACCCACTTACAACAGACCATCTCAACTTACCCTGAGATTCTGGTAGCCATATCCAACAAAATGCTTCTCCATTCTAACTGCTCAAATCTCCAGACACGTGCTGTTCCATCTCTGCTACCACTTAAGAACCTTAAAATATTCAGAAAAAGATCTTACACTCACACACGTGCCACCAAAGGCTACAGTTAAAATCACAAGCCCAAAAACTTTTAATGTACCTATCCTCACTGCAGGTAAAGCTATAGGTATGAATTCAAAAGATAAGGATTTAGGGCATATCTAAACGGAAAAAAATCTGGTTTACTATGATTTGCCTGGCCCTATGAAGTAAAGCACATTTCAAACTCAATCAACTGCTTGTCAAATGGATTGAGTTTTGAGAAGACAATGTACAAGAAGTACCTGGAGGGGGGAAAAAACAGTAAGAATTAAAGACATATGGGAAAACTAGTAAGAGGTAAAGCTCTATTATAAGCATCTTAACTCTAAACTCAAATTAATTCATGCTGGCCATTGTGCAAAAACCAATCAATCTCTTAACAAAGCAAAGGGTTAAAAACTGGAGTTTAGGAAAGGCATCTGAAAGACACTGGGGACCACAAAGAAGGATATAATTTAAGTGATAATTTCGTTGGAGGATACATCACAGTGGCTGATTAAAAAAGATTTTTAACTACTCAAACATGAGGAAATTCATTATCCTCATACCTAATCTTTCCATAAATCAAACATTTAGCCAATGGTGAGATAAAGGAGAACTAATTTTGGTCATAGGCGCCAACAGAAACTATGATCCTAAAAACTTAAATTTCATGTGTTTCCCCCTGCCCCAGAACTTTTCATTCAATTAATATATTTACTAATAAGTACCTGCAATACATGAAGTGATATATTAGCCACACTAATATGAAGCATAGTATATTTGCCTAGAAACACACACACAAACATACACTTACCGATCACCATTGTTACAAAATTGAATACTATCAACTTTATCCTAAACAGGGAGGAAAAAAACAAACACAAAAGTGATCATCTACACAGTCTGTAACCAAACAAAAGAAAACCAGTTTTAGAGCTAGAAGCACATCTAGTTTAAAGCACGAGATCTGTACTTGTGCTGCTTAGCTCTGTCATTCGAACATGTAGCACAAAGGACCTATGAATCTAACAAGATATAGCCCTTGTCTCAGAGACAGACATATGCAGTAAAAAAGAAGCCTTGCTTCTAAAATTAAAGCTAAATTTACAATTAATTATATCTGTATAAAAATGGATACACATGGAAAGTGATCAAAATATAAAGATTTAAGCAGCTAAAAAGAAGAGATATTCACTTTGATGATTATTTATGTGCAAATTTTTTTCTTTTAAAGTGATTTGAACTATGTTAATCAAATAACCTCAGAGAACTTCCTATAGAAAAAAATATGACCTGACCACTGACCAGTATTCCAGAATATTGCGAGTTATCTATCTTATTACACATTAATAAAACAGCATTCTGACGTCATGAGCTTGGTTAAGACGAATAGGCCCACTTGAACTTAACCCACGAAGATCAGCTGTCATAATCCAAATTTTAGATTTAAAACTGAAATAACCACTGCAAAATATTAGCACTGTCAACACACTAAGTTATCAATGATATCCTTCACCTTTAAGTGCAACTCCTCCTATTTTAAGTAAAAATCAGAATCAATAACAACTGCCTTTAGCAACACTTGACAATGTACCAACACGAATATTATGAATAATTAATCTACAGAATTTTAAAACATGAATACTTACAGTGTGGCTCTCAAGTTCAGCTATTTTTTCAGGTGCTTCAAAACCCAAAAAATACATTCTGATTACATGATCAGTACTACCTGTGGCTAAAAACATACCACCTGAAACAAAAATGTTAAGGCTTAAAAATCCAGTTTATAACAAATACTTGAACAAACCAAATTTCTATATTAAGCAAGATCTCCTATTCCAAAACTAAGTCTATCTCAATCCATGTTCTAACTCACTATATAAAAACTCTTTTAAAATTAATATAACACAGTATGATGCTGTGATTTATAATAAGAATAATAATATTTGGTCTTCATCCTCGTTTCTAGCACAGAGCTCCTAAAAACCTTTGGAATTTCCTAAGTGATAAGAGTGATAAAGGGGTCTTGATATTCTTAACAAACCCATTTCAACCACACCAGAGTTTATGCTAATGAAGTGCCTTTTGGAAAGCACCTAAATATACGGGTGCTGATTGCCAGGGGAACCAATCACGTGATTAGAGGCTTGGAACTTGCAGTCCAACATGGGGGCAGAGGGGTGCGGGTAGCAGCAACATGATTTACTCAATCGTGCCTATGCAACAAAGCCTTCATAAAAACACAAAAGGATGGGATCTGGAGAGCTCCCAGGTCAGTGAACACGTAGAGATTAGGTGAGAGTGGCATGCCCAGAGAGTGCCCCTTCCCACATACTTTATCCTATGCATCTCTTTCATTCGGCTGTTCCTGAATTACATCCTTTTAAAATTAACTGGAAATCTAGTAAGTAAAATGTCTGAGTTCTGTGAGCTGCTCTAGCAAATTAACTGAACCCAAGGAGGGGGTTGTGGTAATCTACGATCTATATAGCTGGTTGGTCAAAAGCACAGGTGACAACCTGGTCTGAAGTTTGCCAGGGGGAAGGGAGTCTTGTAGGACTGAGCCAACTGAGCCCTTAACCTATGACATCTCACACTACTCTCTAGGTAGACAGTGTCAGAATTGAGTTGAACTGTAGGACACCCAGCTGGTGTCAGAGAATTGTTTGATAGTGTTGAAAAAAACAACACACATCAGACAAGACTTCAACAAAACAAAAAGTTAGGGGTTGGCCTGATGGCACAGTGATTAAGTCTGGCACATTCCACTTCGGCAGCCTGGGACTCATGGGTTCAGATCCTGGGCGTGGACCTACACCACTCATCAAGCCATGCTGTGGTGGCGACCCACATACAAAATAGGGAAAGACTGGCACAGATGTTAACTCAGGGCTACTCTTCTTCAAGCAAAAAGAGGAGGATTGGCAACAGATGTTAGCTCAGGGCCACCCCTCCTCACCAGAAAAAAAAAAAAAAAAAAGTTAATTCAATCTGGAAATGTTCACTCTCTCCCTCTGCTTTATTAGTTATGGCAATGACCCTAAGGGCTGCTGCTCTAAAAATGCTTGACCAAAGGGGCTCTGCTTTCTAAACAGAGCTATGGAATATAAAGTTCACTTGTTGAAGTTTTTAGACTTTTATGGGGGTAAAATCTTTGACCTCTCCTAAAAAGAAAGGTTACCACATAAGTTCACTGAATAAGAAAAGAAAATGGGAAATAATTTCACAAAGATGTGTGGAAAACAAATTTAAACTACCAAAAATATACAGTTTGGCCTGTTAACAGAAAATCACAATTTTGATATATCACACACCCAGTGCACACGGCACAGGAATCACTCATGTGGACACCTTAAGCCTGCTTTTTGCCAGCTATCTCTTATATCACTGACTCTAATTACTATTGGAAAGCAGAGAAAGGCAGAATGGGGGAGTGAAAGACAAGAAAAAGGCTAATTAAATGAACATCACAGATTAAACCTAATGAAATGAACATAAGTCATTTACCATGTATCAGGTAAAGATTCTTAGCAATAATGTGGTCATTCAATATATGCTAAAATAAAACTAAGGAAAAAAATTACTAAAGTTATCTTACCAACACTAAAAGAAGAACAAAGCATTTGAACGCCTGGTCTAGGCTTTTCAGTGAACTTCAGGGGACGTGGACTTTAAAAGAAGAAAACATTTTAAAATACATTGACACTAACATGATGTAAATATTGGTTTTAACCTAGTATTTTCAAATATTACCTACTCTTATTTCTATAGTACTTCATAGTATACCAAATATTTCCACATATGCTATTACAGCTGGATGGATTTTAGAAGACTGTCCACACCCCACCTTCATACTGATCCTACTACACAGAAGATGCAGGCCTACCAACCCCCATATTTTTAATTGAGGTGACTAAAGCTCAGAGAGCATAAGTGAACCATCATCAAGGCTGCAGAGCAGAGTATAAAACCACCAGGGTATAGCACTTTCCCACAGAAATGGAATGCAAGCCACACATATAACTTTTAACTTTTTAGTAGCCACATTAAAAATAAAAAGAAATAGGGCCGGCCCCGTGGCTTAGCAGTTAAGTGAGCGCGCTCCGCTGCTGGCAGCCCGGGTTCGGATCCTGGGCGCGCACCAACGCACCGCTTCTCCGGCCATGCTGAGGCCGCATCCCACATACAGCAACTAGAAGGATGTGCAGCTATGACATACAACTATCTACTGGGGCTTTGGGGGGGGAAATAAATAAATAAAATCTTTAAAAAGAAAAATAAATTAATTAATTAATTAATTAAAAGAAATAAAATTAGTTTTATTTCATTTAACCCAATATATCCAAAATGTCACATCAATATTAATAAAATTTTAAGGAGAACTTTAGATCCTTTCTTTCATATTAAATCTTTGAAATCTTCCAGAATGTACTGGATACTTATAAAACATCTCAATTTGAACAAAGTTTCCACCAAAACTATTTGACCTGTATTCAGATTTCATAAAACTTACAGTTGAAAAACTAAATTCACATAAGTTGTTTGAAACATGCTGAAAAGTTTCGTAATAACTGACTCAAGAATCAGTTTTGAAATTTAAATTCACAATTCAGTTCATCAACTGCACTAGCCACCTCTAACGTGCTTGACAGGCACATGTGGCTAGTGAATAGCACAGGTCTATAATCCAGGTCTTCTGATTCTTAATGATCCTGCCTAAATTTCTGACTATGTATCTAATTACACATTTCTAACATTTTTCAAAATGTTTCACATACATATTATCTCACTTTTTCTTCACAAAAAAGTGTCGACTAAGATAGAATAGCTATGCTTCTTTTACATATCCAACTAAATTGTTGAATTGTAAACAGTCAATAGTCAATTTGGCACATATGCTATATATAATAAAAATTAAGTTCAAAAGCAAAAAGGCAACCACAATATATAATTTCTCTTTACAATCAGACTTCATTTCATTAGATTAAATCGTTAACAATATTAAAAAAGAAAACTTACTACACAATTAAAGTCACTTACCTAAATTTCAGGGATTCTAAATCCCACTGCCAAAAACAAACTGTCCCATCAGCACCAGTAGAGACCATGTATCTTTGAGAGCCTTTGGCCATCGGGCTAAACTAAGAAGCAGTAACACATACAACAATTCAGTTTCCTGAGCTTCTACTAAAGTTATAGTTTAACAGTTTTTCAACGTTAACTTCAATTGACACTTCAAGTAAAACACAACAAATTCAAAATATAGGTGACACTATTGTAGTGAAAAATCATAACCTATAAAAAAAGGAAAGTCTATCACTAAGTTAATTTATAAGTGTAATGTGATCTCAACAAAAGATTTTTTTCAAAACAAGCAAAAATAACCAGAAAAACTTTTATGAAGAAAAAAAATGAAGATTTAGTCCTATCAATATAAAAGCATATCACAAAACCTCAATAATTATATAGAATACTACTCAGCCATAAAAAAAGACAAAATCATCCCATTCGCAACAACATGGATGGAACTTGAGGGTATTATGTTAAGTGAGATAAGCCAGTCAGAGAAAGACAAACACTGTATGATTTCACTCACATGTGGATAATAAACAAATACATGGACAAAGAGAACAGATTAGTGGTTACCAGAGAGGAAGGGGGTTGGGGGCTGGGCATAAGGGATAAAAGGGCACATATGTATGGTGACTGACAAATAATAGTGTACAACTGAAATTTCACATTTCACCATGTTATAAACTATTATGACACCAATAAAAAATAAATAAATAATAAAATAACGTGAACAAGAAGACGATTTATTTCCAAGGATGAGAGGGAAGGATAAACAACTTTGTACACTGCTTCCCAGCTTTGAGTGGAAAACTATTAATCTGCTGTTGATATGTTTCCACCAAGTCAAAAATCGGTACAATATGTGCTACAAAGCCCATCCCCATTTGTTTCCTAACAAAGATTTTGTGGTGTATTTGAAATCTTCTAATGTTGTTAACAAACAAACTTTCTTATTTTAACAACTAAAAAAGAACTATGGAGTCCAGTACATACATTGACAGAATGACCAATGGAAAAAATATAAAGTCCAAAAGGGATCCTAATACAAGATTTAAGTAAGATAGAGGGGCCATCTCAAATCAGCTGGGGAAACAATGATCACTGCATAAACGGCAAAGGGAACAACTGTGCAGCAATCTGGGGGAAAAAAGCTGGATCTATTCTTCAGGGTACACCAGGATAAATTCCAAGTGGATCAACAATTTAAATATTTAAAAAACAAAACCATAAAAGTATTATAAGAAAACACAAGAATTACATTGTAACTTCAGAATAGGGCTAACACTTGTATTTAATTAAGTACCAATTGTGCTACCATCCACTGAATTCTAAATTGTTTCAATTTTAGAATTTCCTTTTTACTAACTTCCAGTTCTCTGCTGAAATTTTTTCTATTTCTTTTAATTAGTTGAACTTATTATGCATAGATAATTCCAAGATATATTCTCCCTAATCCTACAAGTCTCAAAAATTCTGCTAAGCTTCTCAGCTACCTCCTGTGGAATTGACAAATACCTTCAAACTCTAGACTCCTATCCTTACCTACTGTATCTTGGCTCCATAATTCCTCATTATATTAGTACCTTGGGTATTTTTCACCTTTGTCCAGCTTTTACAGTTGTTTTTATTTCTTTTTTTTTGCTGAGTAAGATTCGCCCTGAGCTAACATCTGTTGCCAATCTTGCTCTTTTTTGCTGAGGAAGATTAACCCTGAGCTAACATTTTGTTGCGAATCTTCTTCTGTTTTGTATGTGGGTCACTGCCACAGCATGGCCACTGACAAGTGTTGTAGGTCCACACCCAGGAACTGAACCCGGGCCACCGAAGCAGAGCATGCCAAACTTAACCACTAGGCCACCAGGGCTGGCCCTATAGTTGTTTTTAAAAAGGAAGGCTAGTCCAAGCCAGCTACTCATTATGTCTTTCATTCCTGAGGAATGTTCATTTGCCACTCTTTTATTTAGACAAGAAGATCTACTTCTGGTTGTAACCTGGCTATGTCTAACACGAACACCCTTAAGAAAGTAACTATTAAGTGACACTGTATAATGCTACCCTAGAGAAAGCTATATACTAAAATATTGACAGTCATTATTTCTAGATGCTAACATTTTTTCTTATTTGCTATTAACTATTGTATAATTTTTCTGCAAAAAGTATTACCTGTACATCTGTTTTTTATAAATTGAAAAAAAAAACCTTTACTAAAATTAAAAATGGCTTCTACATGCCAGTAACAACAGGGCAAACGACAGAAAAAATATTAATAACTAAAATCATGTATTTTGTTTGACTTTGAAATTCAAAGTAACCACTAGCAAGCACAGATGAACCTACTACCATCCAAGTAGATTTTTCAGATATATTCAGTAAGTGATAAACACATGTGGGCCCCCATTAACAAAAGAATGGGTTTCAGGGAAGACCAGTGCTCCACTTTCATGCAGAAGAATTCCATAATGGTTTTAAGACAGACACCCTCACAAAGTATTCTAAGTTTTCTTATTTGCTGCTATATTGCCTGTAAGTCCATATCAAATAACAAAATGTCAACTGTGAAACACAGCTAGGATTTGAATTAATTTCAAACTATGAAACCTTCCAGAGAACAATATAATCCCTGCCTAAAAATAAACAGGCAAACCAAAAATCTTGCTTAAATTTTCAAAATAAAACACTATCCCAGTTATAGTTGTCTTCATTCAAAAATAAGTCTGCAGTCTCTATTCTTCAAGAATATTAACCAGAAGAGTTGAAAAAAGCCACTTTTATCACAGAACTTCACACCAAATCTACTTAGAGACCTTTTAACATATAGCCTAGGTGAATTCACTCATGAAAATGGAACCATTTGCACAGTTTTAACCAAACTCAAATCAGAGGCACCAACGTGCCTTAAAAGGCCTTATCAATCATTATCTCCTAACAAAACGTGATTTTCAAAAAAATGACTGATTAGCACCATTTTGAGTCCTTAATGAACTAATGGATCTAAGGCAGTGCTCATCAACAGCTACTACAGAGAAACCACCAGACATTTCACGCCTGGAAGAGCGTACACCTCAAGGTACTCAAGCTCCAGATCAGTGAACCTAAAATTGTGGTCCCTGGGGAGCAACAGCAACACCTGGGAAACTTGTTATAAATGCAAATTCTCAGGACCCACCTCCGACATTTTGAATCACAATCTATGACGAAGGGCCTAGCAATCTGTGCTTTAAACAAGGCCTCCAAGTGATTCTCATGCATAACAACCAACTCACAGGAAAACAGGTGAATCTACTCTACAAGGATGGAAATGGTAACATCCAGGAACTCTGAAGATAAACAATCCAATACCTCCCACAAACTGCAAGGTGATTTTTTTTAATTGGGGAAGGGGGTGCAATTTGTTTCAAGCTTCTTTTCATCTATAGCAACCAATTGTAAGGTATAGCTTTTATCTGTTTCCTAATTCAAACAAACTAAACAAACTAATGCTATTTATGAGACAACTGGAAATTTGAAGATCAACAAGTGTAATAATAACATTTTGGCTTTTTTTGTATGTGTGAGGAAGACTGGCGCTGAGCTAACTTCCAACGCCAATCCTCCTCTTTTTTTGCTGAGGAAGACTGGCCCTGGGCTAACATCTGTGCCCACCTTCCTCTACTTTATATGGGACACAGCCACAGCATGGCTTGACAAGCGGTGCATCGGTGTGCACCTGGGATCCAAACCTGCAAACCCTGGACCGCCGAAACGGAGCGCGCACACTTGACCACTACGTCACCAGATCAGCCCCTTTTTGGCATGTTTTTAAAAAAAGAATCCTCCTCTCAAAAAAATGGGTATAGAAGGAAAGTACCCCAACACAATAAAGGCTATTTATGACAGACACACAGCCAACATCGTACTCAAAGGGAAAAGACTGAAAGCCATTCCTCTGAGAACAGGAATGAGGCAGGGCTGCCCACTCTCACCACTCCTATTCGACATAGTACTGGAGGTTTTGGCCAGAGCACTTAGGCAAGAAAAAGGAATAAAAGGAATCCAAACAGGCAACGAAGAAGTGAAACTCGCACTATTTGCAGATGACATGATTTTATACATAGAAAACCCTAAAGAATCCATTGGAAACTATTAGAAATAATCAACAACTACAGCAAAGTTGCAGGGTACAAAATCAATCTACAAAAATCAGTTGCATTTCTGTATGCTAATAATGAACTAACAGAAAGAGAGCTCAAAAAGATAATACCATGTACAATTACATCAAAAAAGAATAAAATATCTAGGAATAAATCTTACCAAGGAGGTGAAAGACCTATACAACGAAAACTACAAGACATTACTGAAAGAAATCGATGATGACATAAAGAAATGGAAAGACATCCCATGCACATGGATTGGAAGAATAAACATAGTTAAAATGTCTATATTACCTAAAACAATCTACAGATTCAATGCAATCCCAATCAGAATCCCAATGACATTCTTCACGGAAATAGAAAAAAGAATACTAAAATTCATATGGGGCAATAAAAGACCGTGAATAGCCAAAGCAATCCTAAGAAAAAGGAACAAAGCTGGAGGCATCACAATCTCTGACTTCAAAACATACTACAAAGCAATAGTAATCAAAACAGCATGGTACGGGTACAAAAACAGACACACAGATCAATGGAACAGAATTGAAAGCCCAGAAATAAAAACACACATATATGGACGGCTAATTTTCGACAAAGGAGCTAAGAACATACAATGGAGAAAGGGAAGTCTCTTCAATAAATGGTGCTGGGAAAACTGGACAGCCACATGCAAAAGAATGAAAGTGGACCAGGTGCTATCGCCATTCACAAAAATTAACTCAAAATGGATCAAAGACCTGAAGGTGAGACCTGAAGCTATAAAACTCATAGACGAAAACATAGGCAACACACTATTTGACACTGGTCATAAAGGAATCTTTTCGGATGACATGCCTACCCAGACTAGGGAAACTAAAGAAAAAATAAACAAGTGGGACTTTATCAGATTAAAGAGCTTCTACAAGACAGACAAAACCAGAATCAAGATGAACAGACAACCCACCAGCTGGGAGAAAATATGTGCAAAACATATATCTGACAAGGGCTTAATCTCCATAATATATAAAGAACTCACACAACTAAACAACAAAAAAACAAACAACCTGATCAAAAAATGGGCAGAGGAAATGAACAGACGCTTCTCCAAAGAAGATATACAGATGGCCAACAGGCACATGAAAAGATGTTCAACATCACTAATCATCAGGGAAACGCAAATCAAAACAACACTAAGATATCACCTCATGCCCATTAGAATGGCTATAATCACCAAGACAAAAAACAACAAATGTTGGAGAGGATGTGCAGAAAACAGGAACCCTCATATACAGCTGGTGGGAATGCAAACTGGTGCGGCCTCTATGGAAAACAGTATGGAGATTCCTCAAAGAATTAAAAACAAGAGATCCCCTATGATCCAGCTATCCCACTACCGGGAATCTATCCAACGAACCTGAAATCAACAATCCAAAGAGGCTTATGCACCCCTATGTTCACTGCAGCATTATTCACTATAGCCAAGAAGTGGAAGCAACCTAAGTGTCCCTCGACTGACGACTGGATCAAGAAGATGTGGTGTATATATATGCAATGGAATACTACTCAGCCA